ATCATCCTTAGTTATATAAAAAGTTCCAGGCCAACCTGGGCTACATGAAACCATATCTCAAACTGATAAACAAAACAGTGCCAATAAGATGGCTCAGTGTCTAAGGGCACTTGCTGCCAAGTGTGATGGCCTGAGCCCAGTTCCTAAGACCCACGTGGTGGGATGAGAGGACCATCCTACATGTGTGTGCACACAGACAACAATAAGGCACGTGGGGGGGGGGGTGTGTGTATATGATCAAAGCAATAAATTATTATTCGGCCGGAGAGATGGCTCAGCGGTTAAGAGCACTGGCTGTTCTTCTAGACATCCTGAGTTCAATTCCCAGCAACCACATGATGGCTCACAACCATCTGTAATGGGATCTGACACTCTTCTGACAGCTACAGTGTACTTATATAAATAAAATAAACAAATCTTTAAAAGATAAATAAATTATTATTAATAATATTGTGGGGATGACCTAACTCTTCTAAAAGCATTCTTCCCTTACAAATAACTGTGTTAGCTAGTACTCTAATCACCAGGAGGTGCCAAATAACTTAGCCTTGAAATGCCGCACAATGAGGTAAAGGGAAGACTGCCGCTGTACCATAGCTTCCTGTTTGGGACCCACACCAGTATATTTACATGTGCCTACTAATGCTGAGATCCTAGGGAAGTAGTCCAGAAGGAAGCAAAGCTTGAATTGTGTTTGAAATGTACTTCAGTAATGCCCCTCCCTGCACTGTCAGATGAATTTTGATCACTTAACATTTTTGTTGGTTTGGTTTGGGGTTATTTTTTAGGGGGTAGGAGGATGACACGCACAGCGTCTCTGTAGCTCTGGCTATTCTGAGCTATATAGACTATAGACTATATAGACTAGGCTGGCCTGTGCCTCCCAAGTGCTGAGATTAAAGGCATATGCCACTATGCCTGGCATTGTTGTTTTTATGTAATTGTATGTGGTGTGTGTGTGTGTGTGTGTGTGTGTGTGTGTGTGTGTGTGTGTTCCCATCCGTCCTTAGGAGTACTCATCAGGCCTTCCCCACCGAGCTGCCTGAATGATCTTGTTTTTATTTTAAGACAGTTCACCACAAACTTGCTGTCCTTCTGCCTCAGTTTACTCACTGCAGAGATTATAGACATGATCTCCCATTTTTAGCAAAACAGTATACTTTTTCACCTCACATTTCTGTTAAGCACTATGCTATGATAATACATTAACCAAAAATCTGACCAGGAAAATCAAAACATAATCATGACAAGCACAAGGACAAGGTCAGGTATTTCATAGCAAGATCTAGTTAGGAGAAGTGACTCCAAGTAATTAGATGTGTCTTTCTATGTGATGAACCAACTTGTTTGAGACATGGTTTGAAAGAATTCTCATGAAAAGTAGGAAGAGGAGGTGATGGTGGTGGGAAGTCTAGTGTACTTGGATTGGGTATGGGTTCTGTATTAAGCAACAAATAAAGATGTGTACACTGTAGGATACTTATCCCACTCACTCTTCAACAAGCTCCCCCAGCTCTGCAGCTTCCTCAGGATGGACGGTTCCTGGTGTATCTAGAACAGAAAAGAATGCAAGCCTTTATGAGTAAAGACAAGGAGAATTCAGAATGCACAGTCTTGTTAGATACATGATTTAGACAAATAGAGTTAAATGTTTCTAAAACTATTTTAAAAATAAAAGATTCTACTTACAAAGTAGTCAGGACTTTTGTTTTTCTCCTGTTGTTTTTTAGTGTATTCGTTTGTTGGTTTGGTTGGTTGCTTAGTGTTGTCTGTTTGCTTTCTTTGAGCTTGGATCCTCTGTACACTGCTGTCAGTATACTTTACATGTAGCTGTAGCCCACTGGCACGCTTGTACATTTCTCCTGCCTCACTCATCTTAGGTGCTGCAGTTGTAGGTGTGAGCCACTGGACGTTTCTCTTTCTATCTATCTTTCTTTCTTTCTTTCTTTCTTTCTTTCTTTCTTTCTTTCTTTCTTTCTTTCTTTTTTAATGGTAATTACTGCTTGTCAGGAAGTCTGTCTTCTGTTTGTGCTAACATATACTTAGGTACAGAACCATGGGAAGCAGTCAAACACATGAAGTCAGTTTTGAGTTCTGAACTTTTGAGGTTTTTCTTTTAAGAGTTTAGGATTGATTTTTGTTGCTTTGTACTCTCCCCCCCCTCAAAAAAAAAAGTCAAAATATCAAACACCACCAACTACCCACAAAATTTGTTTGTTTGTTTTGGGCTTAATTTTGTTTGTTTTTCAAAACAGGGTTTCCGTGTGTAGCCCTGGTTGTACTGAAACTCTCTGAAGTCCAGGCTGGCCTCGCACTCAGATTCACCTGCCTCCGCCTCCCAATTTATCCACAGAATGTTTTCTCCCTATTGTTTTAAAGGACAAGGGAAAGGTAAATCAGACGACTTTCCGTCTTTTAATGCTTTCTTACTGAGAGCAAGTAGCTATTTATGAAGCTGGCTTAAGTACATTTTAGTCTAATAAAGGGTGCTGCAAAAGAGTTCAGTACTAAATCATAGCTCTGTCTACATGTGTCCTTCCACAGCACTGTGTTCTTCTGTATCACAAAGCTAGTTCTCTGAGCTTCACCCACTATTGAGGGTTAGACAAGAGTCCCTTGCTTGTGGGCACACGGTGGCTCTGAACTTAATGCTTTTAGAATGACAACTATAAACCAACACTGAACTGTAATGTATGTATGTGTGCATGTGTGTGTGCGAGAGAGAGAGAGAATAGACTAGACTCATGCTTCTGGTCTGCTTCTCAAACATAACTTGGGATGAGTCTATGAGCTGTGTAGTTTGTCTTAAATGTGTGTTGAGAGTGCCAGCTGTGGCTGAGGCTGGCAGGGTGTTTCTACAGTATGAGGCTATGGACAAACTGGGTGTGGTGGCACAGGCCTATAATCCCAGCACTCCGGAGGCAGAGGCAGGAAGATCAGGAGTCTTGGCAAGTGTGGATTGTATAACAAGTTCTAGCCCAGCCTGAGCTGTTTGAGCCCCTGTCTGAGAACAGTGGGGAAGTGAGCAGTAGAGAACTGGCTCAGTGTTTAAAGGCACTTGTAGTAGCTTTATTTTTTTTTTTTTCATTCAAAATCTCTGGTGTAAGAATACTTTGTGGGGACCTGTGAGGAGGCTTAGCAGGTAAAGATGCCTGACAACCTGAGTTAGGTTCCTAGGACCCACATGTAGGAGGAAAGAACCAGAAGTTGTCCTCTGGGTATGGTGGTCCGTTCAAAGCCCATGTATCTGTCCACACATTTTGCTAGAATTGTTTTGATACCTAGATATTTATTTCTAGTGTAAATGGAGAGACTATTTGCATTCCTGCCTGTATAAGGAACAGTTGCTTAAGCTACTAAGGAGATGACTGAGAGAATCAGTCCCACCTGGGACTGCATTGCATTGCTCACTGTTTGCCGTTGTGGGTCTGTGGTGGGTTGCCTGAGCTGCCTCACGCTCGAAGCTTGTTTGTGTTCAGGCTGTAGTCACTGTCCTCAGTCATCTCTCCATTCTCCTCCCAGGTCTTTAGCGTTTATTTTCTACACTGAGCTTTTAGGATTGTACTTTCTCCTGTTTGCTTTTGAAACAAGGTCTCTGTGTAGCTCTGGCTGTCCTAGCTGTCCCTACAAAAGACCAGGCTAGCCTCTTCACTCACAGAGTCTCACCTGCCTCTGCCTCGTGATTTCTGGGACTACTTGAGTGTGCTAATATGCCCAGCTGCATTTTGTTTTTGGGTGTTTTGTTTTTCTTTTTTATAGTGTGGACACAAAGTGGAGACTCCTTTAAACATTAAAGGATGACTAGGTAAAAGATTGACAGGTCACAACAGTACAAGAGAAAAAGAAGGACCAGCAGTTGGGAAGTTGTTACTGGCTGGCGAATATAGTAGCAAAAAAGAGTCCTCTCTTATTACTCTGCTTTTGTAAGCAGCAACTTAATTGTCCCAGGGAAAAAAAAGATAGAGTTCACTGGTATCAGTACACTTTGCGCAATAGCACAGGGCGCTGCACACATGCGCCTGCTATACTTTTGTTGGCCCTGGAAAAAGTACAAGCTTATTTGCCTTGTAGCAAATAAGACAGATGAGAAAATAAAGGGTACAGGAAGTAAGGATGTGTACTTTTTCAGAGTTGCCCCACAGTACCATTTTACACAACCTGTTAGCTATCAAAAGAAAAGGGGGGAACCGGAGCCTGGTAGCTTCAGTTGCCAGACCGGTTTTACAGCCCTGGCTCTCCTAACTCTGAGGACCTTGGTTGGTCCAGAGCCTTATCAGAGATAGCTATCCAGACATCTTGGAACAAGCTGTTTAGTAATGTACAGGAGTTTCTGTGCAAACATCCATCATAAGCCATGAAATGATTCAGGGTCCGCAGTTCCTCTTTGTTCCTTTGTTAATCACTGACTTCTGGCTGGGGGAGGTGCCTCCCGAATGTGCTAATGCATTCTTTTTGGATAAGGATGACGCAGGGGTTGTCCTAATAAGGACTTAGATTGAGAAAGCACCTCCTACCCACCCCATCCCCCTGAGAAGACGGGACAGTCAGAGAGAGGGAGGGCAGTTTCTTTTTTAACTAGAGATGACACAAGCATAAGTCATTTCCTTATTAATCGGTTTAAACCAGTTCTTACAGGAACTAGTGGTGATAAATGTGGGACTTCTCAGAAGTCATTCATTTTATTCTTTGTGCCACAGCAGTATGCAGTCCCAGCTGCGCTGGCCTCACCCTCCTGAGATAGCAGTGGCTCTGGGCTCACTCTCCTACTTTCTCCCAAATGCATTGATGTTGAAGATGTCTCTAAGGAGTTCAGGAGGGATTTTATCGCTAACCAAGCTTCACAGGATTGCTGCGTCTCTGATTGTTGAATTTTGTTCTTTTTATGCAGTCTTTGTCCCCTGCCCCCCCCCTTTAAATCTGAAAGGTAAGTGGATTTTCTTTAACATTTCTCTTGCTTTTCTTCCCAAATGTGTCTTCTTTCCTTTGGTACCTGCTTCCAGTGCTGTCCCCGGCATAGGTCCGTCTCTGCAGAAGCCTTTTCAGGAATACCTGGAGGCGCAGCGGCAGAAGCTTCATCACAGAAGCGAAGCAGGCACATGGCAGGTGAGGTTCCCTCTGGCTTCTCCCCCTTGGCAGCGGCAGGGGCAGCAGCAGGCTCAAATTAGATTCGGGAGCTCTCCTGATTTCTAGATGGGGTGGCTGAGGTAGTTTACCAGTCTGTGTATCTGGTGGTTTTTCAGAAACAAGGATGGGGTAGTGGAAGACAGGATTCTGTTATGTGCAATGTTGTCTTGATCTCAAATGAGTTATTACATATACTTCCAGACTGGGTTAAAAAGTTAAAACATACACCATCACCAGGCGTTAGGTAACATGATTACCCTCCTTCACTTTGCTGTAGGAAAGCAACTGCTTGTTTGCTCTTTTTTCTTTTTTTAAATAAAGCAAGTCTGCCACAGCTGAACTTTTAACTTGAATAAACTGCCTGGCTGTTTTGCCTCCGTCCCTGAGGCAGAGAGGAAAGAACCAGGAGATGTATAGACAGCACGCTGAACCAGGGAGCCTGGAGGAAAGCAGTTGTTCTCCCTTGGCTTTAAAGTAGCTCTGTGTCCAAAGATGGCTCACATTTATGTTCTAAAAGCAGCTCTAACACTGAAACAAAGTTTGAAGTCTCTTCCTCTTCCAAGCAAGATCTCTGCAAGGCAGCTGAGAGAGTAGACTCTAATCAGACCACTCTGGCACAGTATAAAAGAACAGCACACCCTCCCATCCCTCTCCAGGCTATATGAGTTAGCATCGGCTGTCCAGCCAGCAGCTTGAACTGACAGCCAAGTGTGAAAAGCTTGCCCTGAATGTGGATTTCAGCGTACCTAGAGACCGATTTTTAATTGTTTTGGGTTTTATGGGCAAGCCTCAAGTTCTCCTTATTTCCTTGAAGTGTTGTAAATAATCTCCTTAGTGTTGAACTGAGAAAACCCCTTTTCTTGAATTGCTCTTCTTTCTTTCCTCCAGGGAGAAAACTGGTTATCCTGGATGTTTGAGAAGCTGGTTGTTGCGATGGTGTGTTACTTTATCCTGTCTATCATTAACTCCATGGCACAAAGCTATGCCAAACGCATCCAGCAGCGCTTGAACTCAGAGGAGAAAACTAAATAAGCAGACAGTTTTAGCTGCAGAAGTTAACGTGGTGGAGCCCTGCCTCACATTGGGAGGGCTCTAACCAGGAAGGAAGGTCCCCATTTCCAACCTGTATTGATTTTTAAAACATTCTTCCTGAAAGCAGTTTAGTCCATATTTTACACTGATATACTTTTGCTTTATTTGTTAAGGTAAGGTCTCCACCCTCAGTTCAATCCAGGTTGTATTCTTTAGGGTGGATATGATGTTCTGCTGCAAACTTAACAAAACTGGCCTTCTGATACTTTCACAGGGCCACATGGTCCAACTGGAGAACCTCGGCCACACAGAACCTTCTGAAGTATGTTAAATATGTCAGGCTTTTTAGGCTTGTCACAAATGATTGTTTTTTTCTAAGTCACCAAATGTATATAAGTTATATATATTGGATAGCAGTCTTGCATGTCTATCATGGAACAATTTAATATGCCTTCCTTTCCCACCCTCAAAAAGGCCATTTTATGATGCATTGCACACCCTCTGGGGAAATTGATCTTTAAATTTTGAGACAGTATAAGGAAAATCTGGTTGGTGTCTCACAAATGAGTACACCATTTTTTATTCTGTATATTTAGAATGAAGTCATGAAAAACTTTATAAAGACATCTTTGATCATTCCGAAATTGTGTCCGTTTTCTTTAGTGCTATGGTTTTTTTATGTTTCTTTTTCACTTCTACAGAGTGGCAGCCTTGCCAATTAGACTTAAGCCAGTATTGCCTAGGCTTTTATTTATTGCCAGAGAGAGAGTGCGCCACCACCAAGGTATTGTGCTGTGCTGAACCTGGAGAGCTAAGTGAAACTGTGAGGTTCCCCTAGAATGGGAATCTCCTACTTTATAAAAACAAGAAGTGGCGATGTATACATCAGAGGACACTAGCAAGAAAGGCTTTTTCATGTTTGTGTTAGCTTTAGCTGTTTGTACTCCAGTTTTAACAGGTGGAAGTTTACTTCTCTGTGTGTTTCTGTGTTTTATTTCAATGTGATTTTCCTTTGACATTTTTCTGATTGACTCTGTTCATTTTGTTTTGCTTGGTAGGAATAAACAGCTTTCTTTCCTAGAATTGGCACATTAAGCCCCGGCAAGCCAGTGATGTTTGCTTTGCTTTAAACCCTGCCTGAGCACCCTGTGCTTGCCCCCTGTCGTGGTCGTGACATCTGCATGGCTGTACCACCTTGTCGGGTAGCTTATCAGACTGATGTTGACTGTTGAATCTCATGGCAACAGCAGTCGATGGGCTGTCTGACATTTTGGTATCTTTCATCTGACCATCCATATCAAATGTTTTCATTCAAACATTACCCAGCATCATGGTTTGTAGTCAAAAATTGTGGTCCTTACGTCTCGTGAGACTTCAGCTCTTACACTGTGATACAGCAGCAGTATCAAGAGAAAACTTCCTAGGAAATTGGGGTGGTCATCATAGTCATAACTAAATAAATAAAATGAAAAGTCACCTCGCCTCATGGATTTTGGAAAGGTTGTCTTTTGTTGGTTTTTGGTTGGCTGGTTGGTTTATGTTTTTTTCTTTACAGGGATTAACAGTTATCTGACCATACTTGAAAAGCAATGCCCAAATTAACCAATGGAATTTTTATTTATTTTTTACATGTTTATTTATTTATTTTTTGAGATAAGGATTCACTATGGAGACCAGGCTAGTCTTGGACTCATAGAGATCAACATACCCTTGCCCCACAAGTGCTAGGATTAACTTCATATGCACCATGCTGCCAGGCTTAGGCTAGTATAATTCATATGTTAGTTAGCTAGCAACAGAATTCCCACCCTGGGTTGCAATTGTTTCATCTCTTTGCCTCACTTATTTTATTTCTTGTTTATTTGAAGATAAAAGATGTTAAGTGTGAATTATATTAAGTCTGGGATTTATTTATAAACTTGCTTCAGGGTAGAGTATTTAAGGAAAAAAATTGGTTTCCTAAGCTAAAAGTCTAGGTGACTAATCTAGTTGTAAACCCTGTTCCTTTGTCCTGGATACAGCTGAAGTGGTGTGATAACTCTTCTGTCCAGTGGTTGCCTGGTTCCATTAACCACTGACATAAATACATAGTTACGAGTCTCCAAAAACACTACTACTTAAGTTCAGCTAGTAGGAGCCCAGAAAATTTACAAGTAGATGGTTTTTAGGCATTCCGACTCCATCCCCTCCTAAATCTTATTCCTTCCTCTCAGCTCCAGCTGCATGCCCCATCTTCAGCTTATGTACTCGGGCACTGCCATGGAATGGGAGCTGCGTCTGGAACCTTATGTGCCCATAATCTGGAGTGTGGGCCTCTGAAGAAGGATACTGCCATTTATTTGGATAATGAACTATATAGTTCAGTGGTTCTCAACCTGTGGGTCATGACCCCTTAGCAGTCCTCTATCTTCTAAAATACATTATGATTCATAATAGTAGCAAAATTACAGTTATGAAGTAGCAATGAAAATAATCTCATGGTTGGGAATCACCACAACATGAGAAACTGCATTCAAGGGTGGCAGCATTAGGATGGTTGAGGGCCCACTGGCCTACTCCCGTCCTCCTAACAAGCTAGAAAAAATGAAGACTGCAAATGGCATTTTTTTATGCTTACTAGGTATAGAAGTACCTCCTGTGGTGAGCATTCCTAGCCTCATCGGGTCTCCAGCATACTCTGCTGTCTGTGCCATAAAGACAGGATGAGATTCCTGTCCACTAGGAATTTAGCCATCACTCACCAAACAAAAACTGCATTAAGCTTAGTAAGTTGCCTGTGGTAAATGCTCCTATAACTCCAGTTTTTGTTTTGTTATTTTGCTTGTCTCTGTGTAGCCCTAGCTGTCCTGGGATTCCCTATTTAAACCAGCTTGGCCTCGAACTCCGAGTTCTGCCTGCCTCTGCCTCCCAACTGCTGGGACTAACCATACCTGGCCTTAACTCCAGGTTTTTAGACTCACATGTAACCTGGCATGTGTTACAGTCTCAGAACAAGGCATGTGTGTGCAGCTGGAATTACAAGTGCTTGTGAGCCACTCGACGTGAGTGTTAGGAGCTAAACCTAGGACTTCCTTGGGAGCAGTATTGCTCTCACCTGCTGAGCCATCTCTCCACCCCTGTCTTCAGTTTATAAATCACCAGAGATTGTCTTAAACATATTCAGAAATGTCATAATGTATCCACTACAGCAGAAACTTACTTGCCGGTTCTCTGTTTCAAACCTAGACTCAGGCCCTGCTGTGCATAGCTGCTGGGCTGCACCGTCTTCACATGTTCTCTTGAAGCCTTTGGCATCTTAGATAGTTTTTTGTAGTAAGTGAAAAAGACTCTTTGGCCAAACCTTTTAACTTTTGTTTTGAGGGGTATTGTGTTTTGGAGGTTGTGTGTGAATCTATATCTTCTTCCCAGTGCTGAGGCTACATTCCAGCTTGACAAGGTTGTTTTGTTTTTTTTTTTACTACATTTTATTTTTTTTGTATGCATGTATATGTGCCACAGTGAATTCTTGAAGGACTGAGGACAGCTCCTGCCTGTGAGTTCCCTACATGTGAGCCTCAAGAGTCAAAACTCAGAGGTTCAGTCCTAATGCTGGGCACTCCTGCCACGCAGCCATTTCACCAGGCCAGAAAGCAGTTATAAAGTTCAAATTAGGCTGGACATGGTGAAATGCCTTTGATCCCAGCACTTGGAGTTTGAGGCCACCCTGGTCTACAGAGTGAACTCCAGGGCATCCAGGGCTACGTGATTCTGTCTTTAAAAAGGTCAAATTAATAAAAAGACTTGGTGACACGCCCCTTGGTCTCAGCACCAGGGAATCTGAGGCAGTACAGTATTGAGATTGAAACATAAGGACTTTATCTCAAGAAAGGGGGAAGGGGTGAGAGAAAAAGAATGTACTAGAAGACAGAAAAAAGTGAACTCGTCCAGCATGACGGCTTAGTGGAGGAAGGGGCTTGCTGCCAAGCCTGACCATCTTGAGTTCAATTTCTGGGATCCACGTGGTGGGAGGAGGGAATCCACAACTGCAGATTGTCCTTGGTCCTCCAGATACACAGTACACACATACTGGTTAAGTAAATGTAAAAAAAGGAAAACAACTTTCAGAACTTAAACTGAATCCAGATTATCTAGTATAGGTAGCTATGATTAAACTGCTTTTTTAAAAAAGAGATTTGATGGCATGCTCAGTCTTTTTGTTTTTGAGACAGGATTTCTCTGTTGCCCTGGATGTTCTGCAACTGTAGACCAGGCTGGTCTCGAACTCAGAGCTCCGCCTGTGTCTGCCTCCAGAGTGCTGGATTAAGAGGTGTGTGTGCCACTACACCTGACCTGACATCTTTTAATAGGCACCAAAAAAGCTGGTGCATTTTCTTCATGAATAACTTGGCTTTGTATGCATGGGCTAATGACAGTGTAGCATAGAGGGAGATTGTCCTGCCTGAGCCATGGGTAACACAGCATCCAGCTTGACTGCTACCTAAGAATTAGTAAGATTGTTATTAAGAATTATTTGGGAGTACTTTTTAAAGACAACATCCTATCTCTTATACTAGCCAATCTTCTCTGGCATTCTCAGACAACAGAAAAGAGGCCACGTAGTATACCTTACCTCGATCTTAGGATCATCTGTGGTTGTCAGGGGCTTGGGTTCCAGTCCCTTCTCTACAGGGTCAAGAGTTCACCTGAGCTCATATGTTTGCCTTGGAGGTGAGGCCTTGCATTGCCACAAATAACCCACCTACGTGCATTTGCATATTCAGCCTATTCCGGGAAGAGGTCTTACAAAAGCCTGAGATACACAGCTGCTTACTCAGGCCTTGAGAATTGCATGGTGCTATGATAGGCAGGTGCCAACTGTTCTTGTTCTTTGACCCACTGGACCTGCATAGATCTGTGTGGGCGTTAATGTGAAATCGCAAAGGAGGTTGTCTTGGATGGCTCCTGATCTGAATTTATGTAAATTCTCCCATCCAGTGAGAATGAGTCTGTTGCAAGTGGCTGGCTGGGTCGGGGAACAGACAGAAATGCAACTTTTGAGGGTTTGTCATCCGGTTCCACCAGCCAGCGTGCCTTTTTTACATGTACAGTGTCTCCTCCAGTCTGCAGGAGTGGCTCTAACTTAGCCGAGCCGGTTTAGGACTTTGGAGTCATTAAGGTGCACTTCAGTCCTGGCCTGAATTGCTCCAGGAAAAAAGAATTTTACGGTTCAGGCTTTACATGGAAATTCCCTTCTCCCATTTGGAGCCAGGTGTCCAACCTATTTGTTACCCATTTCCAAATGACTCAAAGGACAGACAGGAAGTGCTTGGACACACCCCAGCACATGTCTACTAATTAGCCTTTATTTGTGTTGGAAACCACATTCCAGAATTCAGAAAGGACTCGAGCCTCCTGGTACCCCCAAGCCACCTATGCCAACTGACAGGGTCTTTAGGGAGTTCCCAGCATCTACTGATGATCTTGCTAACTCTGGGAGACCTGTTGCTCTCTCTCCCTTTGAGGGGACAGAAAACAAGCAGTCTTTTCCTTGGAGCCTGTCTTGGACGGACCCAGCTGGGCAGTATTGCTTAACTGTGTTCTAGACTGCTCAACATCAGAAAGAATGTTCTGGGGTAGCCAGCATTTGTGAAAAGTGATGGCCGCG